GCTTATCTTGCCTTTGAAAGATTCTAACTTGAGCTTCGGAGCCCTTATGCCGAGTTCTCCCCGGAGCTTCTTCACCCCCTCCGTTTCAGGTCCCCTGCCGCTTAGTTCAGAGGCAAGATCGTTGACAGCCAAGACCGACCGGATTGTGCATCATCAATTTGCCTGAGGCCGGATTGTGCATCATCAATTACTTTTTTTCCTATGTCAATCCAATTTATTTGGATTGAATTTTTGTGTTAGGCTTAAATTGGAATTAATTGTTTATTTTAACATGAACCTTAAGATTGTGTTTGGTTTGAAAGAAAAGCCAAGGAAAAAAAGGTAAGGAAATCTATACATGGTTTATATTGATTTCCCTATCTTTCCTTTCTATTCCCTACCTTTTCTTTCAAACCAAACACAACTTAATAGAAAAGTTTAAACCGAACTCTTTGGTTGAATTTTAGATGAAGAATACTTCCTAGGTTCAGTATTGAAAATTTTTCCTAACCTTCATTTTCCATTCTCCATTCTCCTTCATCTCTTGGCCCCTCAAGGAAAAATTTACTGACTTTAGACTCCACTGCTTTCCATATAATAAATGGTAAATAAGCTTTTGAGTTTTGATATTGAAATAGTGTATAAAATAAAAATGAAATAAAAAAATGTTTTAAGTGTTTGATAAGAATTATTTTTGAAAGCATAACAATCCAAAGTAAATATAAACCTTTAGGCTCAGTTTGGAAAGAATACAAATACAAATATGTACAGTGCAAATACATATAAAATAATTCAAAACATAAGGTTTTGCACTCTACATATTTGCATTTATACTTCTTCCAAACTGAGCCTTAAAACCAAACTTCAAAGCCTAAATTCAGGATTTTACGGTATTTTGGCTTTAAATTCATGATTTTAAGTTTATCCAAATAGAAACTAACGTATAGGAAGATCAACAAGCATCAAGAAACCTAAGGTTGTGTTTGGATTGAAGGAAAAGGTAGAAAAAGCTATACAAACTAAATACAGCTTAAAGAAAAATTTTCCTTACCAGAAAATTTTAATTACTGTACAAACCTTGTACAGATTTCCCTACTTCCCTACCTTTTTCTTCAAACTAAACACAGCCTAGAAGAAAACTTCCCTTCAAATAGTTCATGTGTCATACTCAGAAATGTTCCCAATAGCCCAAGTTTTCCACCAAATTTAGAGCCTGTTTGGGAGGGCTTCTAAGTTTAGGGTGTGTTGTGCTAAATGTTGATTGAGTTGCGATGATTGAACTCTGGTGTTCCAGAGCTTAATATTTGAGCAGTGGTTTGAACATTTCAGAAAGTTCATATTGACTTTTAAAATTTTTACCAAACACAGCTTTCAGCATTTCTTTATGAGGCCCAACTTAAAAATGCCAGAAGCAGCATCCTGAAAGCTCTCCCAATCTATCGTTGGCGAGATACTTATTCTACAAATAAGACGTGTGTGCATATTCTAGGCATATTTAGTCTTTGTTTAATACCCAATTTACCCTCCTCTCTGATTGGAGTCAGCATGGAATCTGAGGCCACATGCCGTTTCTCTTACGTCTAAACCGGGTGACAAGTATTGCTTGGCACCCGCACCCGGTTCAAATGCAAAAGGAACGACACGTGGCCTCAGTTTGTAAACAGTAGGCCTTCCAATTTCCAATTTGGAGTTTGTGGACGAAGTAGTGGAATAAAATTGGAAGAAAGAGTAGAGAGTAGAGACAAATTCTTCCCAGGCAACGTGAATTGTTTCTTTCTGGATTACTGACGGGAGTTTCGGAATCTGGATAAAGAGTTTGCGTACACAAAAGGGGCATCACGGTCAATTCCATGTAGCCAAAGTCATTTTGGACACGGCTCTAACCAGTTACTAGTAACGCCTAATTAACTAATAATCAGATTTATACCATAATAAATAAATAAAAAATCAAGTAACCAGAAATTTCTTGATTAATCTACAGAGGACATGCACTGACACTTTCGGATCCATTTCCATCCAGGAATCATATTATTATGTCCCAATCCAGTAAATAATCCGTAATCCGCTATTCTACTTCCTTAAATAACCAAACAATTTGATATTTTTAGCTGCCCTTCCCTGCTTTTATCCCCCCCCCCCCCATTACTCCAAGGGCATTTCTGTCCTTCTGTACAAATTCCAGAAAGTCAAAACCCATCATATGCTTTCCACAAACGGAACTTAGTGTTTACGGAAACCTACCCACTTGACGAAACCGAGTACATCAGACGGTCTCAATTGGACACATCGTACATCCATCCATCACGATTCTGAACAAATCGGAAGGATTTTTTATCTAATGGACCCCACTAACAACATTAATCCAACAAACAGGCCATATTCATTAACTACACCCGTTCATTCATTCCTCCAGATGGAAAAATTGAAAAAAAAACAATAACAAAAATGGATATAACAAAAAGAAAAACCAAAAAAAAAAAGAAAAAAACCAACAGGAGGAACACAAATACATGCAAGCAACATCTCCTTCCGTTTCTGAACTCTCTGAAGTATATTTGCATTCTCTTTCCCCCTTCTGTTCTGTCTTCCTCTCACCGTCCGATCGCATTCAACCGTGCTCCTCTCTCTCTCTGCAACTAAGCTTGTCTCTTCCTTGATCTTTTCTCTGAGTAATACACGGATTAGCAGCGGAACCGGACGCCTAAGAACTAAGAAGAGGAGAGGAATAGGCGGAGCGGAGTGCAATGACTCGGCGGTGTTCTCATTGCAGCAACAACGGGCACAACTCCAGGACGTGTCCGATGAGAGGGGGGTTGAAGCTCTTCGGTGTTCGACTGACGGATGGCTCTATAAAGAAGAGTGCTAGTATGGGCAATCTCTCCTCTGCTCACTACTACTCGTCCTCCTCTGCTGCGGCTTCCGCCAACTCCAGTTCTCCTCCTTCTGATCCTCTTCGAGATCCGACGCCCGTCGCAGATGGTTATGTCTCTGACGATCCTGTTCACGCTTCTTGTTCTTCCAATTGCCGCAGCGAGAGGAAGAAAGGTGACCTTTTGCTTTTTGTTTGATTCAATTATCTTTGGGTTTAGGTACTATTTGGTTGATTTGGAGTTTTGTACCTTCTCATTTTTCCTTGCGATCATTTGTTATGGATTCATTTGGATCCATGGAACTGTGTCTTGTTTGGGTTTTGGATAAGTTTGAGATTTTGATTATTTTTCTTCATTTTTAAAATTTGATCTAATTTTTGTCCAGGCGACCGCTAAAATAATTGGGATTAAGGCTGAGTTCAGTTTAGTTTAGTTTTATTTATCTGCTTGTTATATTATTTTGACAGTCTTTAAGACATCTTTACTCTCTCATAGATTTTCCTATTGTCACCCTATTTTCCTGTTTATTGTTGCTGTTGGGAGGGTGGGATGGGTGGAGCATTTCTTCATTTAGTTATCCATTTTTCGGTTCTGTATGCAATGGTATAAATATCTTTAACGAGTTGTACCTGTTCTTTTATATTTATTTTTACTGGGAATTTAATACATTTCTGTATTTTGTCCTTTCGTCTTTGGGATATTTCTATTAGAACTTAGTTTAATCATTTTGTTTTTGGCAGCTTCTTTGTAAACTTATCAAAGTTTTATCTCTTGACATTTTTATAGCTTCATTTGATTTGTTTCTTCCTTAGTTTTTAAACTTTTTCATTCTAAGCCATTCATTTTTTTCTGTTTCAGACTCTGTTGTATTAGTAAGAGCTTCTTCTTGTCAACAACAACTATAGTTATCTAGAGTAAAGAGTTTATTGATTATGTCAATCGTTTTCCTGTTCTTTGTATTTGCAAATCTTTTTATGCTTACAATTGTGCATTCCTAATTCCTAACTATCTAACTATAAAATCTATTGTTACTCATAATTCCAAAAAAACCCATGAAACTACAACTTCAGACAAACTTATGAAACTATATACACATGATACTTCAAGGAGTTCACATTGTTGTCACATCACTTGCGAGTCACGAGTTGCAATTCCCCAATTAAATATGGACATGAAAGCAACGAAGTAACAACAAAAAAGAAATGTGATGTTTTGAATTTTCACAAAAGGTTGGTATGTCCATGTTTGCTTGGAAGATCACAAGGAATTTGCACAATGTTTGTGCTGTATTAGGCCTTTGAGGGAATCCTCAATCTAGCATTTGACTTATTAGGAAAAGTAGAATTAGAAATCCTTGAATATTGAGTATTCATTTTTTTTCCTTTTCTGATTTGCAAGATAATTCTTATGCTTTTCATTTTCATCTAATTATTTCTAAAACCAAATTAACACCTATTATGTCATATATCATGGTTTAGAGTTTTTGTTTTTAATCCCTTCTATATGAATATTTCAAAGCAGTAGAGGATATGGGTAAGATGTTCCTATTTCATACCAAATAATGGAAGCACTAGAACTTACATATTTGTGCTTTGCAGAATCCACAATGAACATGACATCTAACACAGACAATGCTCAATATGCATAAATACATGCATGCATGTGTGCTTGATTTTGTATGTGATAAGTGTGCTATTTCTTGTATAAGCTAAGTTTTCAATGAGAATCTTACCCATTTCTGGAGTGTCATCATCATCATATTATTTGTTTTTTTTTTGGTAAACTTATTATTACTTGGTTTTAAAATTTTAGTATCCTATGACTATACTAGTGTCAGAAAATTCCTTTACTTCTTTCAGTTGTTCTTTCTTTCTACTAGAATAGGGGATTGATCCACATGATGCACTGTATATATTTGCTGATTATTCTGTTATCAGCTTCAGATGCTTCTGATAAGATCTTCATACTATTTTGTTGATTCTTGCTCTTTGTTTTTGAGTCTTTATGATAAAAATATTTTTATTTGAAATCTTGAATCTTTATTGGAATAGTATTCTATGTTTATGTTTTGTTCTTTTGTGGAGTAGAGATTGAGCCTTGAATTCTCAGCTTTATTCTTTTATATCATCAATATTGTTGTCTATGTTGCAAAATGTTCCTAATAAGATGGTTCTTGTTGTACAGATGGAGACAAACACTTTCAAAAAAAGTCATTCAGTTCAGAAACTTCATACATTATCAAATGACCTATGAGTTTAATTATCTGAGCCCTTCTGGTGGCGACAACCATTAGATTCGATCTTTTTCCTTCCCAACAGACACATCTATCACATTCATCTCTTCTCCCTGTGCTTGCTTCATTATGCATGCCTTTAACAGTAAGCCAGGGGCATTAATGATTTAGGTCAAGAGATAATCCCCAAGCCTTCCATCAGTGAAAATATTTTTGTTTCCCTCGGTATTTCTTTATTATTCTGTAATGTATGTCATGATCATTATTTGCTCAAACTAAAGTTCAAGTCATTACTTCCACCAACTTTCTTCCCCTTATTTCCTTTTCATATTTTTTCTTTCAATGGTACTGACTTGTCCACCATCTTACCTATGTCATATTTTTTCCACACATCATCATCACCCATGCCTTATCCCAACTGTATGGGGTCGGCGATTTTTTTCAATACATACATATGGATTTAAGAATTCCTGGCTCTCCAACCTTGCCATTCATTTTTAGAAGATATTGTAGGGAAACTGTAATTATATGGATTTTCTTCTTACCATATTTTAGGATACAGAGTCATGCTTCTATTCAATCTTTCAATTTCAGTCTTTATTAGTTCTTCTTCAGTATCACTACCTTAAATAATTAGTTTCCTCCTTTCTTGCATATTGTTTTTCAGTTTTTTGTTTTTTTTTTCGCTTCACTTTCACCTCACAATCTTCCAGACCTTTTGTGGTATCAAAATGTGATATCAAAACAGATAGAACTTTTTTTCTAAGGAGAGTTACTCTTAGTCAATTCTGCAACTTGGAATATTTTCTAATTTTGCACTACTATGAAGTTTGACTTCAGAACAGCAAGGAATTGGTTTCTGAAGAAGAGGCAGGTGGGGAGAGAACAGTTGCAAACTTACAATGCTATTATGCAATTGCAGATTCAATACATCCACTTAATTATTTTTAAGTTTTTAAAGCTTCTCAGAATCAGTGTTTCAAACACCATGAATGAATGGTGGTTGAATTGTTTAGACCATCAGCCAGTGTCCAAAAACATTTTGAGTTAAACCCCGGGTAGTTGAGGAATTTGAGTATTTTTATCTTTTTAAAGCTTATCAGAATCAATGTTTCAAACACCAGAATTTGATTATTTGATTATTTTGTAATTAGGCTTCTACTCTGATTTTCAGGGGTCCCATGGACTGAAGAGGAGCATCGGTTGTTCTTAATGGGCCTGCAGAAGTTGGGGAAAGGGGATTGGCGTGGGATAGCACGTAATTTTGTCATGTCAAGGACTCCTACCCAGGTAGCCAGCCATGCACAGAAATACTTCATCCGACAGAGTAACTCAACCAGAAGGAAGAGGCGCTCAAGTCTATTTGACATGGTCCCGGATATGGTTTGTCCAGTTCCTCATTCTGTTGTTATATAATTAATCTTCCTTCAAATTTGTTTCTGGGGCACATTTTACCAAATTCTCTCGCTTTTGGACAAGTACATTGAAATCATAAAGGAACTCTTTCCTTGGAATTTTAGACATATTAGAATAGTCTTAGATATTATGTAATTTGCAATTACCACAGATACAGTGTGCATGAGTAATCTTTGTTTTTATTCTATTTTCAGTCCATTGATCCAACAACTGTGACAGAAGAGCAGTCGTTGCTTCATTCTTCTCAGGCTGGAGAGTCAGAGAATGTTAACTTGCTGCCTCCCTTGCATCTCTCACTTGACCAGGAATGTGAACCTATGGAAACCACTTCTGACGAGACTGTCAAAGCTGATGAGGGTGTAACAAGCAGCAATATTTTGCCAATGATTCCAACACTCTTCCCAGCATATCTACCGGCTGCATTCCCGTTCTGGCCACCAAGTCTGGCTCCAGCTGTTGGAGAAAATGTTGGGGAGATTTCTCATCATCAGGTCCTAAAGCCAACCCCAATCCATTCCAAGGATCCTGTCAATGTAGATGAACTGGTGGGCTTGTCTACACTTAGCCTAGGGGATGTTGCTACTGGCCGTATGGAACCTTCAGCACTTACACTGCAATTAATCGGAGCTCCATCAAAGCAATCAGCCTTCCATGCAAACCCACCCATCAGTCGGTCAGATTTGAGCAATAGCGGCAGTAGTGCAATCCATGCAGTTTAGATCAAAGAGAATGGAGGTTCTATGTAACTTGTTCTATTTTTTTGTCCGCTTTTCTTTTTCGGTTTTCCTTATATAAAATTATAAATTTCCCTAGCATTTATGTTTTCTTTCTCTTTTTTGGGCCCATACGAGCTTCTTTCCAGTCTTCCAGATATGCTGTAAAACAAAAGACTAATTTAGAAAATCTGAGCCCAAATAGCTAGATGGTTCTCGGCTCCTCGCGTTGAAGAGGGATATCAGATATGCTGCGAACACAACTGTCCGAACTGGCCACGTATACCTATCATGAGGGCACACGCCAGTGTTCCATAGGCATGGAGCCACACCACATGTGGATCTTAATCTCTTAAGGCTATGTTTGGTTTGAAGGAAAATGTAGGGAAAGGAAGGAAAAGGTAGGGAAATCTTTACAAAACCTTGTATTGGTTATCCTGTCTTTCCCTTCTTTTCCCTACATTTTCCTTCAAATCAAACATAGCTTAAATGTTTACCGAACACCAGCATAGCATATTCACTGGCAATTGGTAGGCTGGTGTATCTACTCTGGACCTGTTCATGGGTCGGGTCGGGCTTTCACTCTGCATTAACAGATTTTTTAAGGCCCAAGCCCGAGCCTGGCCTGACCATTGGGCCTACAACTTGGGGCTGAGCTTGGCCCTCATAAAAAAGCCCGAAGCTCAAGCCTGGGCCCAAGCCCGAAGTATATAGTTCATGCCACTGCTGAAGTGACTGAATAGAGAGAGAGAAATTATAAAGAAAAAATAAAAAAATGTATATATTAAATTATTAATATATATATATATATTATAATAAATATTTTATATTTTATATTATATAAATGAGCTGGATCGGGTCAGGTTTTTATGACAAATCCTGAGCCCGGCCTGATAAACAATTGGGTTTGGTGTTTTTGGCCTGAGGTCAGGCCCACGGGCTTAATTACATGTCCAAGCCCGATCGGGGTGTGGGCTGGGCCAGGCCGGGCTGACAGGCTACCCGGCCCATGAACAGGTCTGATCTACTCCCTCCACAAGTCCATCCCAGAACGATCGCCCCATGACCTGCCTTCTCCTATAGAAACTGTGTCAAAAGTTACTTTGGATTAGCTGAACACAATGACTGTTCAGCCCCACTGAAGTTATCATTGGTTCCACGGGTCCAGTTAATCCTCTTTCTTTCCTTCCTTTTCTGTGATGTTGACGGTGGTGGATAAAAACAGTTTCAAAATATCAAAACATGCATATCTGTGTATATGATACTTGAAATTCCACTTTACTAGCCTGAATTTTGGGGGCAGTGTTAAGTTTGGCACCCGATCTTTCAAATATGTCATTGCAGTATTAAACCTTTCAAAAAGTGTCAAATTGGTCTCTGTTATTAACCAATCGTCAGTTATTTGTTGAAATTCTTAAAACTATCATTCAAAAGAAAACTTTAGACATATAAGAGTACGACACTTTGAACTAGGGGTGTCAATGAACCGGTTTTAGGTTGGACTCCGTCAAAACCAAAATCTATTTGGACAGATTGGACGGATCAATAAGACATATTGAATTTGGATGAACTGGATGGACCAATATGACATATTGGATTGGTCCCGGTCCATCCATGATGAATTTATATTAGATTGACCCAATATCTGGTCCATTGATAGAAGATAAAAACATAAGTGTAATGGACCAGGTTTGAGTTAAAACCAATCTAAATTAACAAGAATTTGAATAGATTGGACAGTCTCTAGACCGGTCCAAAATATTCCTTGGACTGAATTGGACCAGGTCCATTTGTAATGAACTCACATTAGATTGGACCGGATTGGACCAAATCCAGTCCAATTGACACCCGTACTTTGAACCTTGGGTGAAATTTTGAAATGGAATCCTTGCCTTGTGACCAGAATAAATCTCTCACAAATTTCAATTTGAAAACATTGAAACTTTAGACCATGTTTGTTACTTGTGAAAAACACTGATAAAAGGTAGAGCAAAGGGGCATAAGGGTTGGACAGGGAGAATAGAAAGAATATAGAGTGATTCGAGACTTGTCATCCACGTTTGAAAGGTTTTGAGTATCCTCCCCACCCCCCACCTATTGTATCAAATTGTTCTAGATTTCAATTTGTTTAAAGGATCGATTAAGTATCTTATGTACATGCATTTAGATAGGTCTATTATGTCGCTGACTTGTTTGCAAATTTAAGGCACTCAGAAGATTCGAATGAGTGCTCACAAGACTGTGTTAACACCGTGTTAGTATAGTCTTTTACAGCTGTGCATTGGAATATCTCTATACTTAAAATTTCAATACAAGATTGCAAGGAATTGTGCACAGTCTTGTGAGGACCAAATTCGATTTTGGCACTCAGTCCTTTCTTATTCTGAAAGCCGTTTGCTTATTTGTGTTAACAAATCCAGAGTGGCTGGCTCACACTCGCATATCATCTCAACTAGAAATAGGTTAGGTTTGGCACTTGGCAGGGGAAGCTTCCACTAGGGAACCTTTGGCCATATTGGGTGGCGTAAGGAACTTTACTACACGATCTCCATTATTTCTCGTATTGGATGAGTAATGTATATTTGGAAAAAGAAAAAAAAAATGCACCATAATAGGCCAAGGCTCTGCCCTTTCAAATTTTAACAAATGTTCAATCTCTGCTTCACCCCTATTGACAGCAGATCCTTAGATTCAGGGTGTCTATTCACTATTGTGTATTCCATGGTGCTAAACAATAGGGGTAGCATAAACTCATACCAGCGCATTGGCACTTCGCTAGGGTGTCCATTGTGTAGATATCCTTAAATTGGATAGATGTTCATTTGTTTAAGAGGGCATTCTTTTTTTGGGTTTTGAGAGGGGAGAAGTTGGTAAATGGGATATCTATCTATGTTCTTTTTCCAGATTTATGTGGAGACGAGATGGGAACATTTCCCATAAATAATAACACATAAGTACGGGAGATGTTCCCAATGCACGGTGGGATATTCTTGTGAGGTCGGTGTGAGGCATCATGCATGAGGAGCAAATCCGCCGGTCTCGTGAGGACTAGAGAGTTTATTTTTCTGAATATCACTTACCCAGGGAAAGTTTATTTTTTAGGTAAGTGATATCCATATCCTAGGTGGATAAATAACTTTCTCACCTAGGGGGAAGTTGGCAATGCTTGACTGGGACAAAAACATCCCTATTAATAATGGATTCTTATGGTTAAAATGGGCATTGCCTTATTTACATGGGTAAATGCACTTACCTTACCTGGGTAAGTAACTTACCGAACAGCAAACGGGGCCTAAAATCCACATTAGTCTTATATCCCACCCTATATTAGTTATGTTTGATTCTATGTGCATTTATTAGAAAAAGACACCACATCAGCATCACTTTGGCATTGACATTTATTGTACAAGAAACCACTGTTTGATTTCAATGTTTATCAAATAAATATTAAAAAATAGAAATGTCCCTTAGCCTAACGTTTATTGAAATGCAATACTGACCTGGTGAATTATAAGCTGAGGTGGAAGATAACTTTATGGGATGTTACTTGAAATGTCCAACTAAACAACAAAAAACATTTAAAGTTATATTTTTTTAATAAAATGTTTATCTAAGAAACACTCCATCTATAAGCGCCCACAGAATCAAACACATACATTATTGATAGTTTTTTCCAACAAATATCAACCATTCAAAGTTTGCTTTAATGGAAAACCTGCTCAAAAGAACGCCTTATTATGGACATATGGGAACTGGGGAGTGCTTCGGTTTTCAAATTTGCCTCTTGGAAATTGGCTAGAAAAATAAATTTATCGGCCCCTTTTGGGCTCCCAGATGGACCATTCACTAGATCCCTTTTCTCCCACATAGTGTAGAATATAACGATACTTTTACTATTTATTGATAGTCTAAAAAATTAAAGCTGCAAAAGTGATTATAAGAAAAAGCCTCAAACTTGACCAACCTGTTCAGGCCCTTTGAGAAGAGAGCCTGGCCTGAGTTGGGCTAGCACTAAAGTTCAAGTGGCGCTTGGGCTGGATAGCTCCTGCTTTACCCCAAGTTAGATCAAACCTCAGCATGAGGGTAATTATGTGGATGGACCTTCATGGGTTCTCACGCAGCCCTACAATCAAAGGGGCCGTTTGATAACAGCCAAAGATGCTGAACCGAAAGCTTATTGGTTTGTCTTTTAGGCTCTGTTTGGAAAGAGTACAATACAACTCAGTATTAAAAGAATACAAATACAAATATGTATAATTAAATATATAAGTTTAAAAATACAAAATACAAAACCTCGCACTGTACTCTTTCCAAATTGAGCCTTATACAAGGTTTTACATTATATATTTATATTTGTACTGTTTTCAAATTGAGCATTGGGCTGCATTTGGAAAGGATGCAAATAAGTGTGAATACAAATATGTAGAGTGTAAAATGGTCCAAATAGATTGTAAAGTTGGGTTAGTTTTGCACTGACAAATTTACCTTCTTACCAAATAGACTTTTAACCGTAATGGATGCAAACACAAATTCCAATAAAGCATATTCCGTTTTTTATCAAAAGTCCACTTGAATGCAAATTTACTTCATTGATATACTTTTACATCTTATTATCAATATAAATATGCATTGGAAATGTATTTTCTATCATTTGTTAATGCATAAATGTAATGTTGTCATGGGCAAAAGTGAACCAAAGTGCAAATTTACTCTAAACTAGGATTTACACTCCATTTGCATCGTTTCCAAAAGCAGCCTTAGTAAATAAAATTTTAAGAAGGTTGTGAATTTATTAATGGCTAATATTGAAATTGAAAATTTTTTTATTTAATTATTTATTGACCAAAAGGCATAACAATAAGTCTTTTAGTTCAATAATTTCAACCATTATCAAACGACATCTAAGTTGATAACTGCAATCCCAATCATCCAATTCTCGTACAAAAAGGAGATTAAGGTGATATTTGGCATCATGTTAATTCTTCCTTACCATGGTTTTTAAAACTGAACCGGTGACCAAACCGGTCAGGGGTCCGATTACTGGGTCGAACGGTCCGATCATTTGAACTAAATGCTCGGCCCATTCTAATAAAAAAGTAAAA